CCCTTTTCAGGTACCCCCTGAAGGATTCCCCCATCCTGAAATCTCCCAATGTCCCCCCCCCAATCCCGTTTACGCGGAAGTCTGTTGTGTAACAATAGAAGATGAGACACTCGGACACGATGGATACTTATCAAAGAGAGCGCTCTGCGAGGGTTTCAATAGCGCTGTCGATATCAGCGACACCAAGAACGACTCCAACACTATCACGAAATTCTTCCAAACTGAAATTTTTAAAAAATCATTTTCTATTGTTTTACTCTTATCATTAATTATTACTGTTATTAATTAATTAATTATTACTATTATTAATTACTACTGTTTTATACTGCTATTAATTACTATCATTTATTATTCCATTATTATTGTATTATTATTACTGCATTATAACCTAGAATTAATCATTACTATTCCAGTTACTTTAACACCACTGATACTTTATTACTACTAATTCCACTTATTAATACTGTTTTGAAATTATTTATTATTAATGATATTATTTATTATTACTATATAATAATAATAATAATAATAATAATAATAATAATAACAACAACAATAATAATACGCACAAAAAGCGGTCTCGAGAGGCGGCATCACGGTGCCGCACGCGAACACGCCCGCGCGCGCCATGAAATCGAATATTGGATGTTGAATTCCAAAGAACATAAAATAAAAGTCTAACATTCTGAACACGTACGTATATCTGTATGGCATCAGTTCATCCTGAATATAATAATAATAATTATTATTATTATTATTTATTATTATATTTATTATCATATTTATTATATATTATCATATTTATTATTATATTTATTATTATTAAAATAAAATAAACAAAGTCTCACCAAACTCGAAACAGTCGTCACCAAAATATGCGTTCCATAGATGCCAATTAATAAGGACGGTAATGATACAAAATCCAACATTTTCAATGCACTGAATCACATTAAAGTAATAACAACAATAATAATAATAAATAATTAATAATTACAATAATTAATAATAATAACAATAATAAATAATAATAACAATAATTAATAATAATAATAATAATAAATAATAAAAACGCACATGAAAGCTCCATTCTGATACTCAAAATACAAAATCAAACTCAACACCGTAAATAATAATCGCACGCACGGCGCTTGAAATACCATTAGCTCACAGAAACGTATCCGTTTTCTATAATATTATTTATTATTATTTTTATTATTTATTATATTTCATTATCTATAATATATATCAATATTATTTATTATTTTTATTGACTATCATAATTATAATAATTATTAGTCTTATCATCACATCATTTTTTAATACACTTCTTTAACATCAGTAATGAAGAATCTAAAGCAATTGAAAAATAGACCCAAAATTAATTTCAGGTCGTTAAATATTTCCCTCGATAACTACGTCAATAATTCTACGCGTAACACACGAGTGAGCAGGCTTTACTGTCCCGGTAGGCGGGGCTTACTGCCCCAGTGGGCGTGGCACATCAAACTGTCACGCCCATCCAACAATCTAGCAAACACCACCCCACAACCACCACAAGCCCCGCCCACACACGCAACGCAGCACGCACGCCGGCAATAAAACGCACGCACCCAACAACCCACTAACAACCATAATAACATAACCATCGAAGCCAACACACTCCATTACACATAATAATAATAAATAACAACTAATAAACAATATAAATAAACAATAATAATAATAAATATAATAATAATAAATAAAACCAACTGCTCCAAACTCGGTTTCGGCAGGCACGGGAACACGCAACAGAACGGCGGTGTCTGCACAATGATTCGTGTGCATTCATTTTGGATTTTTTTAATCATTTTTTGACGCCCTTCGAAAATATTCATCAATAAACAAATTATTATCCATAACGCGATCGAAAAATAACTGAAATAATAATAATAATAATAATAACAATAATAATAACAATCATAATATTATATAAATATATATATATATATATATATATATAATTTATTAGTGCAAAATACAAATCTCTATAAAATATTACTATTTTTTATTATAATACATTTAATTTATAAAAAATTTATAATTTATAAATTCTACTAATATTATAATTAATTTATAATTAATAATTATAAATTCTATTAATAATTTATAAATATATCAATTATATATATATAAATATGTATATATATATATATATAATAATAAATAAGTAAACAATAAACAATACAACCCCTCTTAAAAAACTCACAAAAAGCTAAGCAGATGCGATAAAAACCATACACGTGGCATATACATTGCGATTAGCGAAAATATCGAAACGAACTGAAAAAAAAATATATTTTTAACAATAATAACAAATACAAATAAAAATAAACAATAAAAAATAATAACAATAATAAATAAAAACAACAACAAAATAACAAATAAAAACACCAAACCGGCGCCGTCCCCGCCAGATAAATAATGAATGCCCTTCGATATCGATGTGTCACGTAAAAGGACACATACACCAAATGTAATATACCCAACGATAACGTTATCAATGAGGTGATTGTTGCGATCACTATTATTATCACGTATAATCGATCGATATCTGCAATATTTTTATTATAATTATTTATTATTATTATTATTATTATTATTATTACTATTATTATTACTATTATAACCACTATTAAATATTACAATTATTATTATTGTCATTATCGTATTCATTAACGTGATTTATTCAATATTATAAAATACTTCATCTATAAAATAATAATAAATAATAACAATAATAATAAATTTAACAATAATAAATGACAATAATAATAAATATAATCCCCACAACAATAATAAATACAAACACAATTTAATAACCCAAAACAACCCACGTTTCAAATAAAAACCCGCCGAAGGCACTACGAAAGGTCCATCTGTACAATTCAACAATGAATCCGTTAATAACTTAATTGCCGTTTCCACGATCATTTTATTATTTATTATTAATATATATTAATAATGTATATATCTATCAATAATATATATTAGTATTTATTATTATTATTATTATAATTCTCGTTGAGTTCGCACAATCCAAACCTGCAATGTCATTCACCATTGTTAACATTTCAAACTTTACTAACTTACAAACAAATAACAATTAATAATAATAATAATAAAAACAATAAAAACAACAATAATATATTAATAACAATATTATATAATAATAAAAACAATAATAATAACAATAATATATAATAATAAATAATAATAATAATTAATAATACCAATAATAATAATAAACCCCAATGAACCCAACCGCTCGCGAATCGGCGAATACAAATCAATGAAAGACGAAACATTTTTCAAAATCTATTTATTATTATATTATAATTATTATTTGTATATTATTATTATTATTAATATAATATAATATTATATATATATTATTATTATTATTACTATTAGTATCTGCTAAAATCGCACTCCACCTATTCCAAAAATCCATTGCAAAATATGAAAAACTACTTTTGGAATACTGCCAAATAATGCTCTTGGAATAATTCCAAATTTTATGCTTCTAATTAATTTGAACCCCCCCCCCCTTTCCCCGTCTAAAACCATAAAAAATAAATCGCGCTCATTCGTTTCGGTCAATCTGTAAAACTCACCCTACTCTTCCATCTCTCTCCTCAAATACTATTTCGTCCTCTCTCTTTCTCCGTTTCTCTCTCTTCAACCACTATTTCTTTGCTCTCTTTTCTCCCTCTTCGCATAATATTACTGTTACTCTCGTTCTCTCCTCTCTCTTCAGATACTGTGCTCTCTCTTCACCAGACTCGACGCATTA